GTAAAATAAAAGAGACTAAGAGACGGCAAATAGATAAGCCCAGAAGCAATAGAAAATAATCAGTTATGAGAAGAACCAGAATAAGTAAAGAATGAAAGGGAAAGAGGCAAAAGATATACATGGTGGGAGAGTGATTGTAGAGAGGAGATGGGTGAACATAAATACATAGGTTCCTTTCTGATTTTTCTTTTTACTTTTAAACACAAAGCAAAAATGCTGGAAGTCCCATAAGTAGAATATGTATGTGGAACTGCCAATGTTAACCATGATATAGAATTTGGTACAGGAATGATATAGGCCTGTGATGCATGTCCAGCCACCTGGGAGATTGCCAGAAATGCAGAACCTCGGGTACCATGTCAGACCACCTGAATCAGAATGTACAATTTAAAAAGGCCCTGAGGTGACTCCTATAGACAATCAAATTTGAGAAGTGCTAATGCAGGCATCTGAAATCCACGGAGAACCTCCTCACGTCCCTATAGTCAATGATGTAGTGCAATAGTGCTGACACTAAGCAGCTACACAACCATAAGCAGAAAACTCAATGTCCCTGGATCTCGGCTTCTTCATCTATTAAATGAGAAGGTTAGAGTACACGCCTTCTAACATGTGACAGAGCTGTGATGTTGTTGATCACATCTAGCATCATAACTTCAAACTGTTCCTATACCGATGAGAACAAACAACAAATAGCATCATCTGCTAATTTAATATTTATCTATTCATTTAATATTTTGAACTATCTTTTATGTGCCAGTCAATGTGCTAAGTACAATGATTCCAACTGATAACACATCCCTCCCTGCCCTTGAGGGGAACATAAACTTCTTATAAAAAAAAAAAAAAAAAACGGGCATGTAAACAAAATTAGGGTAAAGTGCACTATTAACTGCAAACAGGTGCTGGCGGTGCACAGAAGGCAGAGCAATTATTCTGCTTGGGGCAGTCAGGGAGAATTTCAACAAGGGACCAGCATATGCTCTATCTAGGTCCCTTCTCCGACAACCTCAGCTGAAAGTACTAGAAAGTGTAAAGACAGAAATAAGGTAGTTGGACAGCAACAAGGAACCAACCAAAGGTTTCTGAACACACACCTCTTGGGTCCACTGGAGCACAAGAACACATCCACCCAATGAATCTTGTGTAATGGCCACAGACATACCATGGACAGCCACAGGTAAAGCCCAGAAACCGGCCCCCTTTGAGTGATGCCTGCTCCCTCATCAGTTCTTCTATGCTCTGCGTCCCTCCACAAGACAATATCAATTCATCCGCTAATCTACTCTCCCTGGAGACTTCTTCTTGTGGTTGCTAAGAGGGGATGCACTTTAATAAATGCAAACAATTCATTAGACCAGTAACTCTTTTGATCTATACTTATCTACAGAGATCCGATTGTATTCATGGTGCCAGAGACTGGAAATGTAGTTTACTGAAAGGATGAAATTTCTAGAATGTTTAAGGATGGTGTAGGGTAGCAGTGAGAAAAAGGAGCTTGTTCATTCCTGACCTCAGTAAGTTACAGGAGATGGGGTGTCTATCAGCCCCAGGCTTCACTGTTAAGGAAATAAGACTATTATTCAGAACAATAGTTTTCCAACCTTTAGATCATGTTTCACCCTGGCTCCCTCCTGGTCCCTGGCTTCTATAGACAGATTTGTTTGCTATGGTTCCTTTCTCCTGACTCCTTCTGTATTTCATAATCAACAAATATAAATTAAATATTTGCTTTAACCTATTAGTAGTAGTGGACATGTCACCCTCGTTTTTATGTTCTTAAACAAGAAAATGGGGGGTGAGGTGGAATCCTGCATCCTGAGTTCATTATATCCATGGAGGAGATGGGAGAATGTTTTACAAGTTAACGAACGGTGATGTGGCCAAGGGCTGGATCAGCTGGTCCTTTCTCCCTATCAAGAACCACTCATCCCACCAACCAATTCCAGTCCATGTTTCCACCTCCCAGGTGCCCAATCTCTCTCCACACACAAGGCTGGAAGTGAAGGTCAAGGAAGATGGTCAGTCTGAAGCCATCTTTCCGGAGGTGAAGCAAGAATACAAAATCAAGATGCCTGCTGTTCCTCCCTGCACCAGAGGAAGTCGCTCTTCTCACTCAGCCTAAAAAAAAGGCACTGGGTGTACAAAGTAGTGACTAGAGAAAAATTTTTTCCTCCTTTTCCTTTTCTGTCATTTTGTCTCCTTACTTATTATTCTTCTTGCCTGCATTCACCTCGGTCATAAATTACACACATATGGTGGCAAAGCAAGACTTTTCAGACAGGCAGATTTTTTAGGGATGGAACAAAAGGAGGGAAGAAATTACACAATCCAGGGATACACATCCTGCCCTCTCCTTGCATGCTTACATCTACCTCTTAGAGGCCATACTGTTCTGTGTTTACCGGTCCATCCTGCTTTGCTACACCTGAAACACGGAGATAGAAGACAACCATGCTGTTCTGATTTCCTTGAAATCACCAACCTAACCTCCTCAACCGTGCTTTCCTGGGAAGTCTTTATTTCCCATTAATTTTTTTCTTAATTGTACATCTTGAAGGTTCCTCAGTTAATATTAAATGTTCTCTCTCTCCCTCCCACCAGCAACCACATCTCTTTCCCATTTAACCCATATTCAGGGTGAAACATGATCTAAAGGTTGGAAAACTATTGTTCTGAATAGCGTGTGAAGGAGAGAAGACAAAATAGAACCCAATCAACTCTTCATGTTATGAGGAAAAAAGAGAGAACAATGGCCCCGAGACAGCTCAGAACACCACTGAGTCACACAAAATCTGCTCAGGAGGACAGAAACACCTTCCTCCTCTCCTGGGTCTACAAAATGGCTTTGGGTGTGGAAAAGGTACAGACCACCTGTGGGAATTTCTCCTAGGATCCTCAGAAGCCCTTTCCAGTAAGAATTCCATTCTTTTCTCTTTGTAGTTTTCCCATCACTTGGTCCTCATCTTCCTCAGCATCTTCTGCTTTTCACCTCTTGTCCTTTGCCTAGGGTTGGGGCTGACTAATATTGACTCAGAACCTGGATTCATCTCATTAACAACCAAGGCAAATGTGGCTGAGACCCTGTCAAAAGGTCTTCTGTCAACCTCATCACCAACTAACGTGACGAAAGACCTACTCAGTGCAGAGCACTGTCATGGCACCAGGAATGCAGAAGACAGCATGTATCCTTTGATACCCACCTCACCTTGCCCACCTGCACATATGAGATCATCACACCTGGAGCTGCATTTCTAACCCATACCTCTATTCTATTTTAAAGTAATTTTAAGAGTTCATCCTCCCACTTGAAGGAGTAGAAACAGTTGCAGAACCAGTTCAGGTGTCTCTAAGGTGAGCGCACATCAGATAACCTCAGCTATTTGTGGACATGACAAGGACATGGTTCAAAGTGAGATCCCACCCTCTCACTCTCATGACCACACCATGGCTACAGATTAGTGGTTAAGCAATAAGGTTCAAAGGAATAAAACCAGGGGTGGGGGAGTAGCGAATTTGGCTCAAATCCATCCTTTTTGGACAATAAAGAACTACCTTCTACTGTGATGCTGAGAAATAAGGACCTTCCACTACTTCCCCCACATCCCTTCAGTAGTTCAAATTCATTCTAGGTAATGTTATTTAAAAAATACCAAAAAAAAGATTTTTGAGGGGAGTGGGCTGGAATATTTTAAAAGAGATTATTGATGCTAATGATTCTACTACATTATTTTGAGGATCATTATGTCAACCTGAGTGCTGCATTTGGGTGTCTTCAGAGTTTGGGGGTATATGGCCAGTGGACGAAGGAGAGGGGCAGCCAGCTCACCATCAAGGCCCTCTGGCACATGGATATTCTGATTTTCTCAGGAGTTGTCTTGGATTACATGAGTGACTAGCTGAAGAGTCACTAGCTAAGTCTTTTCCATTTCTCCTGCTATTTCTCTTTTCAAGTGCATGAAAATACTGCCAAACCTCATTTCACATATCATAAAAAATTATGAGAGGGGGGGAAAATTGAAGTATGAACTCTGTTCTGAGGGTACAAGACTCACACATACAAACGGCACATCTCTTTGTTTAACACAAAGGCTCACGTGTCGAATCCTGCACCCCTTCCACATGCACAGCATTTTAGAACTCTGCAAGATAGCCATTTTGCAAGAGTGTGGAAGTAACAGTTTGCTTGGAGGATGTGTGGGTATAAATAGATGTGTAGACAGAAGGAGAAATTTATAGCTCAAAAATAATGGCACACTGGAAAAAATACAAATTAAAAGCAGAATATTGACAGAATTCCTTCTTTCTGAGCTTCAGATTTAAGCCCTCTTAACCTGCAGCTTTCTTCAATTCCAGGTGATCTTAGACCAGCCGGATTCCCCACCTAGACCTGCCCCTCTGCAGTAGGCCTCCTGGGATCTCTGGGCCCAATGTCAACCCCTTAGACAGCAAGTGGACTTTAGGGTAATAACCACAGTGATCTCAGTCATTATCTTCATGTTTTAAAGGGCACAAAAAGGATGCCCAGGAAGATAGGGCAGAAGATAGAGAGAGAAGCATGGAAGTGGCAAGGGGGAAAGCCAGCCTGGCTTGGGGGAGAGATTTCTAGATTCCAATAAAAATCAGAGCTTTAGCACTGGATGAATAAAATGACATTTAACTTGAAAATCACACAGGTTTCCCAGTCGTGATTGCATAAAAAAAAAAAAAAAAGAAGAAGAAAAGAAAAAACCTTATGCCATTCAACATCCTATGTTCTTATAGACATCCACCCCCACTGCCTCCAAAAAACCCAAAACCTGTTTGATGGGGAAGGAAAAGAAATAACATGGGATATTGCCCCCTTTGTAATAAGCCTGTCTCCCCAGACCAGCATTATTTTAACGTCATGTTACCTTTTCTTTAAAAAAAAAAAAAAATCCACTTGAGGGACCTGAAGAGAGATAAACAAAGAATCCCTTACCCCAGGTGAGAATAAAATACAATAGAAGGTGCCTTACCTTGGTTTGTAGAAGCCAAACCTCTAGACGATCGGATTAAGGGAGTGAGCATGTTGGGAATGTCCAAGCTCCTCTTCTCGCTTGCATATCCACATAAGAAAGATGAAGGATAAATGAAAGGAAGGTAATTTGAAATCCAATTTATCGTGAATTTTGTTTGAATCTTGTGTCTTGAAGAGATGCAAATTCAAAGGGGGGAAAAAAAAAAGACTGAATTCAAAGGTAAGTCAGTGGATGGAGAGCAGCTCACGATGCAGAATCCAGAGTAATTATTCCCTTTGCATGTGAGGTTGGTGGCTGGACTATTTTTTTTTTAATGATTCCTCTGGCAATTACGGGTTTTTGATTTTTGGAGCGTTAGTGGAGGAGGCTGTGTGTAGAGAAGCTGGGAGCCAGCTCTGTCCCTCCTCGGAGCATGGTCATTCCCAAAGCGTCCCCTTCCTAAGGGGGAAAAAGAGGCTGTTAGAGGGTTTTATTCCAGTATCTCCCAGAGGGTGAGAAAAATGCATTCTGAAAAAGATATCAATTCGTTTTCAGGAAAACGGGGTTGGAAACCCCGCATTTCCCACAGAGTGCACACGAGAGGAATTGAAAACAGCTGGCACCGGTCTATAAATAATTCAGAAAAGGTCTGGCTATACCATTCCTGGGACAGGCATGGATGAGAGGTGGGAAAGCCAGGCTGAATGGAAGCGGAGAGAGGGCGGGAGGGAGGAAGCGCAGGAGGGAAGTGGGAAGGAAGAAGGCAGCGAGGGAGAAGCGGTACCACATAGCAACGCACACGCACTCACGCGCAGGAGCACCATCCCCACTTAACTCGCCAGCGAGTGCGGCCCCCAGCCCCATCTGCATTGCTGCTGACACGTCTGCCTCGCTCTGCCCATCGCTTCCAGCAGCAGTGTCTCCTCCCACCCCGGGCTGGTGCTGTATGGGTTCTGCTTGTGCATGGGGTGCACACTGGGCATTTCTTGGAAGGGGCACACTGACACGCGCGTACACACGCACACACACACACGCCCCCGGCCGCGCACGCGCCCCCGCGCGCTCGCACACTCACCCCCGCGCACACTCACGCCGCCGCGCCGATGTGCAGCACGCGGGGCTTCACCTGCAACGTGTCGATTGTACTGATGGTCGCGGCGCGAGGCTCCGGCCCCGGGCACCGATGCCCAGTCTCTCTGCTCAGTGAAAGGTTTACCCCGTCCCCCAGTCCCCCAAAAAAGACCAGAGAGAGCCCTACCCTTTCATCCTAAAAAAAAGAAATATTTTTTTAAATATATTTTTTTAAGCCACGTCTAAATTAGCTGGATTGTAGAGCATTACCTAATGACCAGGTTGGTTATCGGTTCCACTGCTTCGACCCTTTATCTTCCCAACACCCCAAACCCCCAAATTGAGACAGGAGACTCCACGGCGAATGCTTACATACCGGCTCTGAGCGCCTCAGCGATTGCAGAGTCTCCGGAGAGGGGTGGCCGCTGGCGGAGGGTGGAGGGTTTTCCTTGCCTGCCAGGCAGGATTAAAAATCCCTCTGGAGGGTTTTGAAGTTCATGACTCTTCTTTGCACAGCAGACGAAAATGCATTCGGACGCCAGCACTTCGGGTTGGGGTGATCAGAAATCACCCTGGCGAGCACTTGCGATAGAGCAAAGCCTTGAGATTTCCTAGAGGTGAAGAGACAGAAGGAAGCGGTTTTGAAAGGGGGTGGGGGACCTTCCTTTCCAAAAAAAAAAGGGGGGGGGGTAGAGAGGCAGGATCAGAGATCCCAGTTGGTGAGGATTGGAGCCGGGGGAGGGGACGCGGGCGGGGGCAGGCTGTGCAAGTCAAGCGCGCGGCAGCGGGAGAGGAAAGGGAGGAAGGAGGAGGGGAGAGTAAGAAAAATGGGTATTAATCACCGGGATGGTGGGGAGGGCGCGAGATCACAGGTCGCCTGGTCTGGGTTTGGGTCTCACACTCAAAAACGTGTCCCCTTCCCGCCCCCCACTCCCATCACCACACACACACACACACACACACACACACACACACACACACGCCCCTACCTACCTCTCACACACTGGCTCTGGTGGGAAGAGAAACCCATGAAGCCATGGAAGATGTTTCTGCTTCCAGAGTGTGTGTGTGCACCCGTGTCCTCATTCTCCACACCCCCCACCCCACCCCACCCCCAAACCCCTGCACCCCCTTACTCCTATTGCTAAGACTCTGGCAGTAGCAGCTTCCCCACCTCAGGTGCTGGGGGAAATGGGGTAGGAAGGGGGAAGAAGGCTTAACCCGAGGCCGTGGCGCCTCCTGCTGGCTGCAGTGGGTACAGCAATGAGGAAGCCTGCTAAGGGGTGGTGGGGGACAAGTCAGTGCCCAGGGAGGGTTGCCACTGAGCTGCCCAGAGCATCGCAAAGGCGGAGCTGCAGTCTAAAATTTAAGACTCGCTTTATGTTCCATAAATCTGTCTACAAACATCCAGTGTGCTGGGCGCAGTTTAAAGCCAGGTTCTTGCCTTCAAGGAGCTTAAGACCTATTTTGAGTACATGAGGGTGAAGCTTAAAACAAGAGAAACAAAGCAAGGCAGATGTAATTAAGAGTTACACTGTATGGCACAGATCATAAGTGTGCTTTGCCTCTTGCCAGTGAAGGTTTGAGGAGCTAGGAATTTTTATTAAAGTAGATTCTGTTATTTAAAGAACCTGAAAAGATGAGACAGATGAATAATCCCCAAATAAAACTAGATTTCGTGACATTTACAACCCCACCCTCTTGTAAACGGCAAACATCCATTCATTTCTCTCCCTCTTAAGCTGTTTTCTATTTTAATAGCACTTACCACCACCTGTAGTATTGTTTATTTTCTACATTAATATCATTGTGCATACATCATTTTTATGTTGCTGTATTGTCTCTTCAAAGATCCAGAATATTACAGGGGTGGAGCCTTTTCAGATGGGTTACATCATGAGCTTCTCATCAACATACCTGAGAAGCAGCCATTTAGACACATAGGTAACAATCCTGTGCGAAGTTACCTTGGCACTTCGGTCACCTGGGATATATAGATGTGTATGCAGTTTTGACAGCAATCACAATACATCTGAACTAATGCTTTCATGTTTTCTAGTTTTTGTTAGTCTTACTCTTTGAATGTTTAAGACACACACAGATACATAAGCATTACATAAACACACAAATATAGCTCTGGCTGGGTAGCTCAGTTGGTTAGAGCATTGTCTGAATATGCCAAGGTTGTGGATTTGATCCTCCCATCCTAATCCCACATACAAAAAGCAACAAATGGATGTATAAATAAGTGGAACAATAAATTGATGTTTCTCTCACCACCACCACTCTCTTTTTCTCTCTCCCCTTCCTCTCTCTCTCTAAAACCAATAAAAATTTAAATTTAGCCCAGTAGGCATGGCTCAATGGTTGAGCATCACCCTGTGAACCAGGAGGTCACCGTTAGAGTGAACCTAAGAACCAGGGGGTCACTGTTAGATTCCTGGTATGGATGGGCACATGCCCGGGTTGAGAATTTCCAGTGTGGGACACACAGAAGGCAGCCAATCAATGATTCTCTCTCATCATTCATGTTTCTATTTCTCTCTCTCTGAAATCAATAAAAATATATTCAATAATAGACATATAATCAATAAAAACACAAATATGTATTCATCTGCAAATTATTCTCTCAGTAATGGTACTGCTATTGCTGTTCTTCCACCACTTTGGAGAACTACAGAATCACCACAGAGTTGCTGTGCCCCTTGGTATATAACAGCCAACCCAAGGCCCAATCTGTACAGATATCTAGTGATTCCAGGAATATAGGATGCAGAGAGCAAGGTCCCCAACACTTTTTCCTGAGTCTTCCAGGAATGCCCATTATCGTGGGAGTAAAATCCAAATTCCCTCATAGGTTGACCTTTAATCACTTTTTAAATTAAGCTCCTAGCTCACACTTCCCTTCCTATTCCCAATTACCTTCACCAAAACTGGGCCCTTCTTAGCTGTTTTCTTTTGCTTACCTTCCTGGATCCAACAATTCTGTCCCAGCCTATTCACTTTTGTAGAGGGAAGAATGAACTCTCAGACCTCTCTCCCTAATTAAGTTCACACTCTCCTTTAGTTTTTAGCTCAGTCTCACTTCCTTGAGGATATATTTTTAGTCAGCCATGACTGAATTGATTTCTCCAACAATTTCAATGATTTTTAAAGGAGGTATAGTACTCTCCACTACCTCCTACCCCCTGTGTTTAGAAATCGTGATCAGTTATCAAATGGGTGATGCTACTGGCATGTATGATTAGGAACCAGAGATTCTACACATACACACCTACATTATGAAGAGCTGGCCCAAAAGGAAAACAACACTTCCATAAGCAGTTTACTTTGACCCATATGAAACTACTGGTAGCCAATCATATAAAGCACATGTGTCAAACACAAGGCCCGCGGGCCAAATCCATCCCGCAATGTGGCCCGCACCGCGCTGTCATCACTGCACTCCGCTGCGTTTCCATCACAATGACAGTTTATGACTGTTCAGTAAACCATTCGGCCCGCGATTTAGGCTGGATTTTAGATTTTGGCCCCTTCTCTGATTGAGTTCAACACCCCTAATATAAAGTAACCATATTGGCCTAAATAAAAAGAAATTTTTATAAAATTAAACTTAAAATTGTATTCTTATGAATTTAAGATATATAAATAGACCTGCTATGTTATCAATGTATATATTTCTAGCAACTCAGACGTTCCCAGGTTGAAATTTGAAATTGGCCCTCACACAAAGGGCAAGTAGAGACCCAAGAAAGAAGGCAGGCCACTCCACAATGGTAGGTGGCAGTGTGAATAAGCAAGGGAGCTTATAGACAAGGCTTGCCTTGGGCGGTTGCAAGACAAGTAGATCTCTATACCACCCACAAGAATCTCAGGAGTTTATACAGAGGCCTTAACAGGGATCAGTCACACATACAGTCAGATGGTCTCAACAATACTCTCTCAGGGCTGCATCCTTGAATCTGCTCCTAGAGAAGAAACACTGGGCAAAGGTAGACTCCAATGACAGGGAAGGGGTCCAGCTCCCTGGTCAACAGGTGGCCACGTCTTTTCAATGACCTCCTCCAAAGCGGACACAATTCCAGGCACTCTACAGAGGCTCAGTAAATGTTAAGGGGGTTTGTTTGGTTGGTTGGTTGGTTTGGTTTGTTTGTTTTTGTTTTTTAAGGTTATAAAATGACTATTAGACACCACTTTCCCAAGCAGTCTTGCTGATTCTGGAAGAGTTCATTCTCGGGATAATGCAGCTTGTAAACGGAAAGTGGTAACTTTTCTCCTTGGGATCCATTGCCTGCTGTTCATTCTCACCTTGCTTCTCAGGCTTCTGAAACTCACTTGCACTTCTCATGAACAACTTTTGCCTCCAAAGACCACAAACGTTACAATAAAACTATTTTCAAGGATCACTCAGATTCATGAAATCAGAAACACCATTTCTCAATATTGCAAATGTTTTCTAACTCCTAATCTGTCGGCACAGGAAGCAACATTCTAACAAGATTGATGATGGATTGTATTTCTCAGCATTATTTATCAGCAGCTCCGCTTACCCAGGCTGC